TGCTCAGCCCCACACAAATTTAAGTCAAGCTTTTTCAATTTAGATTCTAGGGAAGAGTGGAAAGAAATCTGGGCCCAGTTGGTACTGCACAACTGGAGTGCCAGCCACGGAACTGATTGATGTGTACCTCAGCAAGACTGGAACTTCTCTGAGATTTGTGTCATCTGAGGATTGGACCCAGACAGTGGGAGTTTTGGCCAGAGCCGGCACTTGGGTAAAGCCTCATAGATTTCTTTCCTGTGGATTTAAAGTCGTTTGGTGAAAATATTCTTTTAACAGGAAGGTATGAAAATATGTCTAAATAATTTTAAACCTGGCCTAGGTTTACAGGTTGTGTTTTGTTGTACTAGTGGTAGAATAAATGAAGCTTTATTAAAAACAAGGTTCTAAAATGTTGTCCTCACTTGTGAAATTATTAAGCCCTCTAAGGAAAATGGCATTGGCAATATCTAATGACTTGAGGCAAGTCATGCTCACAGCATGAGAACTTTATTTGGGGAGGATCATAGCCTTGATCTAGTCGTACATCTTAGATTCTTAGGAAAGGAACTAAGTGACATAAGAGGCTGTACCTGGGAGGAGGTATGTAAGTCCAAGCATGTTTCTGGCACTGTTGTCTCTATTTGGTATAGGATATGTGTATTTCGTGTGTGTTTCATAGTTACATACTAAGGCTGACCCTCCCACTAGGAAAGTTGGGGGAAATTAAAAACACCCTAAAAACATTGCATAGTTGGTCAATTAGTAGGGGCTTATGGCAGAAGTCTAGGTTAAAGGTGCTGTGCAACTTGGATACTAATAAGAGACACCCCACCAAGCTAGTACACTGAAAGGCTTTGCCTTTGTGCTGATGGGGATGGATCAGATAATTTTGCCCTGCTTTCCGTTCCCAGGAGACTCCAAGGAAGAGAAACAAGAGACCAATAAATTAATAAAATGATCCTGAAAAGTTGTAAACATAACTAGTCCTCACAGATTAACAGCCTAAAAGCACGTCACTAGGGGAGACCAAAAATCCCTGCAAAATCCCATGAAAAGCTTTAAAAGAGGGTCCCAGCCTGACAGTGTCACCATTAGGAAGTCTGATAGAGACAGATGCAAATCTTCTCAGAAATAATGCACCTTCGTCTTGGAGAATTAAATCTGATCAAGACTCCAGATAAACAACCAGTTTGTAGAAATTCAGAAGACAGAAGTACAGAAAATGTCAAACACTCTCTCATCAGGATACAGTCACATCCTGGGAAACTAGACAACATGCTTTCTTCAAAAACAATTGCAAAGAAAATAAAATCACACAGATGAAGGAAGAACTCGCATATTAAAACTTGAGAAGCATATCAACCATTTGCGATTTGGATCTTATTTGGATATTGCCTCAGCAAAACCCAAACCCAAACCCCTGTGTATCAACAAAAGATAATTGGCAATGTGGAAAAAAAAAAAAAAAGCACCATAGAGTACCAGTCACTTTTTATATTTATCATCTCTTAAGATTTTCATTGGTGACCCCATTTGACAGTTGATGATAATTAAAGAGATTATGTAATAAGTTTGACATCACACACTTAGAAATTGGCCAAACCTATATCAAAACACAGATTTTATTTTTTTTACATAAAAACAATGAAATTTTAGTTTGTGAAATTTGATGATGCAAATTCTCTCCAAGAACCTAACAAGGGAGACAATCAAATACATTCGATGTCCGTGTGAGACCCAACAGCTTCAGGAGCCACCAGATTTTTTCTGTTGTATCTTAATTATCAAAATTAGTTCCCATCTATGAATTGTATTGGCAACGGGGTCAACATTTCTCCAAATTCAGTTTTCGTTATAAATCGTTACACACATCGGACAGCCAACAGAGAGTCAATGTGTTGGGTCAGTACTTTTCCAAATGTGCTTGCATAAGAATCACTGCAGTGGAGAGGGGAGACTTGTTAGAATGTGACTCACGAGGCTCTGATCCCTGACATGCAGTGTTCTGGAGTTCAGGTCCAGAAAACTCTGTTACAAATGGCCCACAGCCCACATAAAAAAAGGTGTTGCTTTTGTGCACAGCCCCAGAAATTGAGTTTTCCTGAAATTCCCAGAAGGGCCCATTTATTTCATGAAGTGCTTTGCAGTTGAACAGAGAGATAGATATCTATTTGTGACCTCCCTTAAGCCAGCTTTGCCATGATCCTAGAAATCAGGCAATTCCATTGAAAACATTCTTTCTCTGGGAGGCCATTTTTCCTTTAGAGAAAGCATTAAACTTTCATGTGCTTGTGAAATTGTTTATGCAGTGTGAGGGGACCATTTTGGAGTGCAGGAAATTCTTTAAGCAGATCTATTGGCGGGGAGGAGGGGTGCAGTCCAATGAAGAACAAAGGAGAGGCACAGAAAGGAAAAAGAAAAAAAAAGAAACTACTAAGGATAAAGTTTACTTCATGGCTCAGCCTGGGCCCAGGTTCACCTGTGATGATTTAAAACTATGAACTCCCTCATCCCTCGACCCCAGAGATTCTGATGTCCTTAGTCTGGTCTGGGCGTAGCCTAAAGCATTGGGAGTCTTAAAAAAACTTTCAAGATGATTCTAATGTGCAGCCAAGGTTGAGAACCACTGCTTCACAGTTTTGTCCCTGCTAGCCCTGAAGAGCAAAAAAAGATGTGAGGTTTGTTTGGGAATATACGCTGCTGCAGTTTGAACACTGAACATCGGTGAGGGTCGAAGTGACTAGAAAACCTATTTTCATTTTACTGTGTCCTCCTGGGGCATGGGAAGTATTGATCTGATCAATATGTAGGGTTTTCAAAAGAATACCATTTTCGTCCTGCACTTTGGTTTCTGATGGCAAAGCTGCAAATTCAGTGTATCTAGATAACAGAGAAATGACTGTAAGCCCTCTGGTGTTTAATGTGCATGTAAAAGTTTACGGTTTATTGAAATGTGAACTCGCAAGGGTCTCCTACCCCACAAATGGAGTCTTTAACGGCTTGTGGACCAGCCGATTGCAGTACGGCGGGCAGTTCTCTTTTTTCTTTGTGCTGTGGGAATTGGGTTTGTGAGTTTTCATGATTTCCACGTACGTAAAATCTCAGTCATAATGTTGCATTTCCATTAAATTAGTGGATTACAGTTGTATGTTCTGGCATGACTTCCAGCACTGGTCCCCACACTGTTGATGTCTTGCTGTTTGACACTGACCTATAAAATGTGTTATAATGATCTAAAATAAGGGAAAGGAATGAAAAATAAAACCAGCCACAAAGGCATTTTGAAATGAGGTAAGATTTGGAATGGCTTTGGCACGTGTAGCATTCTATAAAGTTAAGACCAGGATTCAGCCTTTCTTTCCTTTAAGATCCTTGCAAATAAAACACAAATATTGGCGTGATAAAAGATGGAGATGGCGAGTCTGTAGCAAAAAGTAGTCCTACAGAGAGAACCAGGAGCTTATTTGCTCATGGATCACCTTGCACATGCTGCCGCCAGCTGCAGGAGATCACAAAAGTTCTCCAGGCTGTCTTCCCCACGATCGTGTAGTTATATAAAGATGTCTAGAAGAGCACTCAGGACCCACCGCAATAAAACACCTAATTTCCACATGTTTGGCAATCCTTTTATGGCCAAAAATAATATCATCAACATTCTTCCAAGGAATAAGCTTACACAAGCCAAATTCAAAAATAAAATGAAACATCCTAACCACCACCTCCTACCAAACCAGACCCCAGGGCCACCTGCTGCGAGAATGCCTATTTCAAGTCCAAGAAACATCTCCCAGATTTGTGTATCCCACAAACTTTCCTTGTTGCTGTGTAAGCGAGAGGCTGGTTGGAGCAGTGGTCAAGAATGCAGCTCTGGAGTCGAGTGAAGCTGGATTTGAGTCTCAGCTCGGTTTTTACTAGCTACTTGACTAAGCAAGGTGCTCATCCACTCCAAGAATCGGTTTGCTCAGTTCTCAAGTGGGGGTGATAATACCGACTACCGCTGTCAAGGCCAAGAGAAACAGGGACGTGAAGCACCTAGTCATGGGCACAGTGGGCTCACACCTCCATAAGTGGCAGCCTCGTCAGTGGCGGTCATGTTATCATGGAGTTAGCTTTGGCATCTAGTGGGTGTTGGATGCAGGGGACAAGGAAAACTAAAATGACTTTCAAATAGCTGCTAGTTAGCTGGTTCTTCCTCTTTTTTATGTCATTGTTTTCATTGTCACAATCCTCTTGGGGGTTTATTTGATGCTTTTAATCAAAATTTTAATAATAATTTTTCTGGCACTGAGTCCTTTTCTGCATTTTACTAGTGACCTAATTTTCATTTCTCAGTAAACCCTCAATAAGAGAGGCACTACATCTGTCTTTCTGTCCATCTCTCTCTCTCTCTCTCTCTCTCTCTCTCTCTCACACACACACACACACACACACACACACACACACACACACAAACACACCTACAGAGCTATTGGGTTGAATTATTTTTTAATGTCGTCACTTTTTTATGTAAATTTTATTTTTATTTATATTGGGTTAAATTTTTGCTAAGTGAGATCCCTGTAACTTCACATCCCCCAAGACAAGGCTAGAGGTTAATGCTGGGATAGTGGAAGGTGGGGCAGTTCTGTCTTTTTATTTTTCTACTATCTTGCGCTTAATATGTAATCATGTAATTGATAAATATTTATGACAGTGAATGAATGCATTAGCTCTGCCCTGTTAGGAACTCATAAACAATGAAGTGAACTATTGCTCTTGCCCTGAATAACCAATTCATTGAAAAGTCATTCACATTTGTACTGAAAATGCTGGCGTCGTGGGTGTCTGGAATATTTGGCACTTCCTAGGTGATTTACCTTTGCAAATTCCATCACCAGAATGTTGGTTGCAAACTTCATAAAAAATAGAGTGGACAGTTGAGAACATTTTTTTGACTGCCCAGACTTTGGGGCCCCTTCTCATATTTGGGAAATCTTCCACTGTGTGGTTCTTAGATGGAAATCAAGTGTCATTCTTAGGACCTCTGTACACCCTTATTCTTCCAGACCCCTGAAAAGCAGGACCCAAACATGACTCCACAGATGATCACCACATTGTCACCACCTGGAGTAAGTATGACCCAAGTGACAACACCATCCCAAATCAGGGGGAAGCATTGACTTCCTATCTCTGTTCCCAAGAGACGTCAAAGTCAGAGTCCAGTGATGTGGCAGGTTCTATCACTGGTGCTTTGATCCCACCTCTGTTCTGCTGGTCTCATTAGGCTTCTGCCCATTTCCTAATCCTGGTTCTCCAGGATTTGGGTTGAATCTGTAATCTCCTAGAAATTCCTTCCCTGTTTAAGTTACCAGAGTTGGTGCGTATTGTTTTTAATCAGAAACCCTGACAACCACAGTGAGGGTGGGTAGAGATTTGTCAAAGACGAATAAGGGCATAGGGTCCTTTTAAATCAATCTTTCAAAATCAATCGGTTATTACCCTCCTATTTAATATCCCTAGTCAGAGTTCCCTGATTACCGGGTTCCCTGATTAGTGTTGGTTGAACAACCACCAGCCAACAAAAACGATGGCTGTTCATTTTTAGAATTCACCACCCATCCGATGCCTCGCACAGAGTGGGCGTGCAATAAATATTATTGTTGAATGAATGAAGAAAATGCAATGGTTGAAACTGAGAATTCACTGAATGAGCTTGACACCAGATTGGCTATGCAATAGAAGAGTGGACTGAAAGAGAGTATAAAATTTCCAGGCTGCAGCAGCTGCAAAGAAATATAAGTTTGTGGTTTATGTCCCCATGAAACTTACAATCTAGCTAAAAAGAAGAGACTTCCATCCAAGAAACAATTTGAGAACAATAAAAGCCAGAATTACATATAAATAAGGGGCAAATGTGGAAAAGCGATGGAAGAATGTACGTATTGTGTGTGTTTGACATTCCTCTTTTGGTGTTTGTCAAATTATCCCTCATTTGCCAAGAATAAAGATGTGGGCAAGAAATGATCCAGAACAGAATACCCATGTTCTCATTATATTAGTTTTGAATGATGTCAGCTGAAGCATTCATCGTCTGGGATCTGTGTAGAGACAGAGCCGTAATACCAGGTTCGTCTGAGGCAAAATTGAGATTAAGTTCAGAAATAGTTATTGTGTTCTCCAATTAGAGAAGACGAGGGTCTAGAAGCCCTGTTCAGTCACATCTCTGATCCCAGTCAACCTCTGTAGAAGTCACTGAGTCACACGAAGACCTCTTCTCTCCCTCTATGTACCAGATATACTCAAGGTAGAATAATTTAAGGAGGATTTCATACAGAAACTATATTTCAAATGCTGTAAGCAAATCAGAAACAACAGTGAAATGCTCTGGGGCTGTTACCTCCTCAGGAGTCAAGGGGAGGGATTAATGAACAAATCTTGAAGGGATAAAGTCAAGCAGAAAAGTCTCCAAAGAGCATCTGTTGGGATTCAGCACTCCTGAGAAAACCCTGCTGAAGAGAGAGCCTAGAAAATAGTCACCCTGACTTCATTGTCCTCCATAACTTATTGCATAAATAAACCTAGTTGGAAGTCTAAGGGCAAGAAAAGATCCTAGCATCATCCATTTGGATTTGCCTCCAGAGACCAGAAAGCAGCGTGTGAGAGGGTGGTAATTTAATTTGGAGGTGGGAAAAGAACATGATCTGGCACACTGTAGAATAGTGAATTTCAAACTCATACGCAGCTTACCTCATTTGGGGGATATGTGATGATTTTTCTAGGAGTGTGTTCATGGCAAGGATAGCTTTAAGAAAATCAGATTCGAGATCTTCCAGTTGCATCTGTATTCATCCCTAACAGTGATCTGCCTGAGAAAGTACAGATTCTCAGGCTACTTGAAGATTTTGTGTCAGTCAGCCTTCCGTTACTGTAACGAATACCTGAGATGATTAACTTATAAAGAAAAAGGGTTTATTTTGGTTCATGGTTTTGGAGGTTCCATGATTGAATGGCCCCACTCCTTTCGGATCTGTGGTAAGGAAGCTCATCATGGTGGCAGGGCATCTGGAGCAAAGGCCTTATCTCATTGATGGGAAGTAAAAATCAAGGAAAGAAAAAGACCTGAGCCCCACAATTCTAGTCAAAAGCACACTCCTAATGACCAGAAGACCTCCCACTCTAACTTCCCACCTACTGTTCCTTTTTACAAATGCCTTTATTTGCCCTTCTTGAAAAAGGTCTATTTTATCTATCTGGAAAGAAAGATATCCTTTTCACCCATACTGATGTATTATGTTCAAGTAGAAATGCTTTTTAATTTTTTTTTCTTTTAATATTTTTAGTTGTCAATGGACCTTTATTTTATTTACTTATATATGGTGCTGAGAATCGAACCCAGGGCCTCACACATGCTAGGCAAGCGCTCTACCACTGAGCCACAACCCCAGCCCAAGTATAAACACTTTCAAAGTGACAAACTGTAGCATCCCCAGCCCAACTGTGCTAGTTGATATAGTGTGATAGGGTGCTGAGAGACCAAGGAACACATGCAGAGATCAGGGGAAGGGGGGTGAGACATGCAGCTTATTGGGAAATTCTTATGGGAAAAGTCTAATGAGGGCCGGCTGGACGGGAAAATTTGCCAGAGTCCAGTAATGATGGCTGGACAGGAATACCTCTATTCCTCATGGTACTTCACCCAGTACTGCCCCCTCTCCCTCATAATGCTACCCCCAAAAAGAATGCCTCCTTCCCAGCATGGCATTGTGTCCAGAGGCAGCTAACTGGACAAGGGGCCCATAGCCTTTCCATTGAGTGCCCCCAGTTCCACACCAAGTACCATGGGGAGGAGGAATTGAAAAATTAGGCTACAGGCACAGTGGCATCATTGACATGAGTTGGCTTTGTTCCTTGTATGATGAGCATCCCAAAGAATGTCTTGTCCTGGTGTATGCACAAAAACTCAGCTTTCTACAGAAAATGCCAACTTGCTCTTGTTGGAAAGAAAGTCAGTGTCTTTCTGGTTGATGGAGGCCTTCCTGGCCCAGGCCTGCTCCTTTTTTCCCTTGACTTGGCTGTCTTCCTAGAATTAAAAGGCCACTTCAGGGATAGGGTACCTTACTGACCTCCTTTTCTATGTTTAATGCAAAACATTGGTGTCTGTGAATGCTCTTTCATCAAAATGTGTAATGTATTTTATTTATAGTGATCGTGTACTAACAAATTGTCTACGGTTACTCAAACCAGAAGATGCATTTAATATGGAGAGCAGTGATTCCCTTCAGATTATAATAACTTGGAGAGATCTAAAGATATTCCAGTGCCAACACTGGCCGCCCCCACCAGACTGATTAAATTAGAATCTCGGGGAGAAGGGTCTATACTTGGCAATTTTTAATTCTCCCTAGGTAATTTTAAATATACAGCCAGAATTAAGCAATGCTGAATCAGACTCAGACTTTCCATTTGTCACAGAAAATTAAAATCTTTTAATGTTTTTGTGTGCCTAGTTTGTTCACAAAAAAATATTATGGGGTGGTCAACAGACATTAAATCTAAAGTTATATCACATTAGAATTCCTATGGAAGAAGTAAAACAAAAATACGGAAATGAACCAGTTCCAGAAACTAAAGAAGTAATGTAAAACTTCCAATCGTATAGAACTTTTTTAAAAAAAAAATGGGCAATGTTGATTCAGTCATTTTCATACTGTGAGTGGCTTTCAAAGGATCATGGTTTGATAATACAGCTAAAAAAAAAAAGATGCATAAAATATAAACAAAAATTCTCCTAGAGGTTATCAGAGATCTACTAAGGCAACCGTGAATTGATGGAGCAGGATCCCAGGAGAATGCAGAAACGTGAGTTCACATCCACTAAAGCAAATTTCCTGCAGAGGCATTTGTTGATTGCAGCCCTGGACAAGAGGTGGAAAACTCAAGGACAGCAACATGGTGGAGAGGTAAGGGCAGTTTTATGGGCTGGGGACAAAATTATACCTGGGGCTGCCAAGGCATCTAGGATTAAGGAACCAGGATCTTGGAGACAGGAAATACAAAAAAAAAAAAAATAGAAAAAAAGTAAGTCCAATATTTAGTGAGGTTTTTTTTTCATAAAGGGATTTACAAAATATTAATCTGTTCAGATGAAAAGGGGTATTTAACCAAGCAACCACATTTCTGAGAAGCAGAGTGGTACTCCTAGCAGTTTAGAGGACTGAAGAAATTCATAAACAATCTCCAAATTAGAGGAACCTGGTAAGCTTCCCAGATTCTCAATGAAACTGCAACAAATCTAAAATCTAGGAGCAAAGGGAAAGAAGAATTGACCAAATCTCTCAAAACTGGGACTCAGACTCAAGTCAGGTAAGTGACCGATTGAATTAAAGTGATCCATCTACCCAAATACCTATCAAAAGATTAAAAAATATTCCTCACAGGAGGAATGTAACATCATCTGGAATCTCTATACTTCTTCAAACATAGTCTTCCATTCATTGAAAAATTGCTAAGCATTCTGGGAAAACTACGGGGACATAAATAGACCAATCGGTGATGGGCTTAGGGAGGAGGGAGAGTTGAATGGAAGTGGCACTGAAGATTTTTAGGGCAGTAAAACTATTTTGTATGAAGCCATAATAGTAGATACATGTCATGACACATTCGTCAAACCCATAAAATGAATGACACCAACACTATAGACTCTGTGTGATAATCATATATCAGTGAAGATCCATTGATTATAATACGTGTATAATTCTAGTGCAGGATATTAATAGGAAGTTCTTTATATATGGGGAGAGAGGGAATATGCGAGATCTCTGTTCTTTCTTTTTAATTTCACTGTGGCCCTAAAAGTTCTCTTTAAAAATAAACTTTATTGTTTATTTATAGTGCTAGGAATGCCACTCTGCTTTAAAAATTTTGTTAGCCTACCAAGAAATGGGACCAAGTTGAAGGTACACTACAGATGCCCTAAATTGTTGCAGTATTAGAAATAAACTATTAAATGTTTGTGGTTGACATGTTTAAGAAAATAGATAGGAAGGTGAAGATTTTCAGTAGGAAATCAAAATACATTTTGAAATATCTAAAGAAAGTCATGGAAATAAAAATATCAATGATTTGAATA